GCCTCACAGCAATGCCCAATATTTCTTGGCAATATGAGTAGGTGATTAATGACCATGTATGTTTTATGGCTAAAAGAATAAAAATAAAGACCTGAAAAGTGTGGCTAACATTTAGCTTGAGGCCATAAATAAATGAGCAGCATGTCCACGAATAAGGGTTAAATTTCCTAACTCTTTTCTTCTTTATAAATAATAATTTTCTTCTGAGTTCTTCATAACTTTTCAAACTCCCCAAACCATAATTTACTCTATTCTGTATTACTTCCCAGGAAATTCAAACTCTGAAGCATCGTGAGTTTGAATGCACTCCAGTGCATTGTGATATGCACTCAGCAACATATTAACGAGGATTTGCATTTCTACAGACAGGTATCCAGATACTGCTAAAAATCAAAAGATGATATTAGACCTATATTATTCAGTATTCTCAAAGCCTTTTTCAAATCTTTTATCAAGGGATGAACTAATCCCGTTGCTAAGCTTTAATCCTCATTTTTTTTTTACTGTGAATTTAGTAGGTAGTGAAGAATCATACCTAACTGAAAAAGAATGGCACATATTAAATCCAGTTACTTAACAAATTCTGTCTCTTTCCAATACAACCATCCTCAGGTGGTTTATATATATATTACTAGACATTTTAAATGTATGTTTATGTCAATGTCACTCATTGATTTATTAAGCTGATAAATACTCACTGGGTATTTACTAAATACCAAAAGTTATACCAGTAAACAAAACAGTCCCACTCTCTGGGGGAAGAAACCTGCAATTATTTAAATTATAACTATTAAGTGCATCAAAGGATAACACTCTGAGAGTCCTGAGCATTATCTACCAGTGTGTGAGCTCAGAAAAGATATCCTTAAGGAAGTGACATTTAAGCCCAGGCAAAAAGAAGGACCAGGAGTTGGCCAGGAAAAGAGGAAGTTGGAGGAAGAAGCATGCTCAAAGGCCAGGGATGGTCCTCGGGCTGCAGCACAGATCATGTGCGAACATATCATGAAGGAGCAAGAATAAAGCAAAATGAAGTCAGGTGTAGATCGGGCATGTATTTAGGGCGTTAACAGCCAATGAAGATGAAGACATCACACTGTATTGTCTTAAGTATATACAATTTCAGCTTTCAAAGTTTCTTTTTAAAAGAAGAACAATGAGCAGGCAATGAAAGATCTTGCAGAAGAAAAAGAGGTGATTAGCTTTTCCCTTTGAGATCACTCCAACTACTCTGCCTAAACTAGAAAAGGAGGATGAAAAGGTAAAATGTGGAAAGGAAGAACTAGTTAGCAGATGATCACAGTGTGGTCTGAGGGTATGAAGATAATTTTCCAAAAAAGGTCAAGTCATAGCTCTCCAAAAAGTGTAACATCAGCCTATGTCAAAGACATTACTTAACTCATTAATCAAGGAGGAAACCACTAAGGTGTTATCAACAGTTCAAGGACAACTCAAAGAACCACATGCACCCAGTCAAAAAAGGAAAACTGAAATAAATTTACAAAAGATGCAAAAACTGGTCTATCCAAGGGGCAATAATCATTTGCATTTCAGCCACCGTGCATTCTATGGATAAGAATCTTCTGCATTAGTATCTATTTTCTACAATCTACCGAGTTGTGATGTTGTTCAAAAACAATGAAAGGCAGAGATAACTCAGATGGTTCAGTCAGACAGGATAACCGCTAATCGTTTTTGCCCATTTTACAGTCATTCATAAATTTTTCTATGGAAGATAATAGCAACATCGAAAAGGAAGTGTCAGTAAACATGGAGAGAGGTTCCCAGGCATGGTGGTATGCACACCTGTAACCCCAGAGGCTCGAGAGGCAGAGGCAGGAGAATCGAGAGCTCAAAGCCAGCCTCAGCAACTTGGCAAGGGTCTAAGCAACGCAGTAAGACCCTGTCACAAATTGGTGTCAACATACTTTATATACAACCAGAGATATGAAAAATTGTGCTGTATATGTGTAATAACAATTGTAATGCATTCTATCATTTATTTTTAAAAAATCAATAAAATAAATAATTAAATAAGTAAGTAAATAAATAAAGTCCAATCAGCAAGGGAAAAAAAAAAAAAGATCCTGTCTTTAAATAAATTTTTTTTTAAGGGCTGGGGCTGTGGCACAGTGGTTAAGTGTCCCTGGGTTCAATTCCCAGTATCAGGGGAAAAAAACGCTGAAATTAACAAAATTTGGTGTTCAATTGAGACTTTGGATGCAGAGAGGACTAGAAAGGAAATGTCTAGCCAGCCATGGTGGCACACGCCTGTGATCCCAGCAGCTGGGGAAGCTAAGACAGGAGGATTGTGAGTCCAAAGCCAGCCTCAGCAAAAGCAAGGCACTAAGCAACTCAGTCACTAAATAAAATACAAAATAGGGATAGAGGTGTGGCTCAGTGGTCGAGTGCCCCTGAGTTCAATCCCAGCACCAAAAAAAAAAAAAGACAAATTTCTAAATGGCAGATAATGCCATCAGTACAGTGTCTGTTTGGATTATTACAAAATAATAGATAGATTACAAATGTACAAATTTATATTTCAAGTTCATTTAATAAACTGTTGTGGTACAACTGGATTTTGTATTACTTGGTTTTGAAGATGTCAGTGACCCATGATAAAAGTCGGTTTTCACATTCCTTTCATTCTCAGAGACAACAGAGATGTCTGTTTTAAAACAAATTTCTAAATGGCAGAAGATGCCATTGATGCATGTCTGGATTTCTCAACTCAGAGGCACACACTGTAGGGAAGGAGCAGACCCAAGGAAAAAATATATTTGGAAATCAAGCACAGTGTACCCTAGGATATCAAGAAAAAATAAATGAAACAAAATTCAGTACCCTCAACAGAATTTTCTCTTTTCCAGCTTCTGGTTGACCTAATGATATCATGGGAAAATACATCCTTTCCCTATCTCAGCAAGGGTGAAGGCGCATGGAGTCCCTGAAAAGCTCCCAGCCTAGAATGTGACAGGCCCTGTCCTGTGTCCCCAGGGTGGAAGAAGGCTGAGTGGTGGATTGAAGACAGCCAGAGGGAAGGAAAAGAGGGGATGAAGTTCAGTGTTACTGTCCCAAGCCCTCCATCTTGGTAGATCCAAATCCTCCTAATTTCTTAGATAAATTCCTCCCAGACTTTGACTTCTTACTAGACATAATCTGAAGTTTTCAAGGTCATCCCACTTGATACTTTTTCTCCATATAAAACAAGGTTTCTGCCCCTCTGTCAGATTCCATAGCTAGAACATTTAGTAAAAACGATACAAATTGGAAAGAATTATAACCGCCCTGGGACAAATAACTCACATGGGGTTAAAGCCTCCATTTATATCACAAAATAATACACCTATATTACAAATGAACAGATTTAAACATCAAGTTCATTTAATAAACCACTGTGGTACTACAGGAGTTTGTTTATCTCCATTGTATTGTGTGACAATGGCCTAATCACAAACACTGAGAAAGTTTTTTTCCATCATTTATTCTCAATTGTCATACGCATCACCTTACACACACCCTTCCATGTTTGATTGAACTGTCTGCTTCTCTTCATTCTCAAAAATAGGTACAAAAGCAATCCTACCCACATGGGCACTCAGGGGATCACTGGGGGAAATCTCCTCAGATTCGGGCTCTCTGAATTGCCGAAACTAAGGTGCTCAAAATGTACTCTCGTGCAGATAAAAAAATTTTCAATGATGTCAAGTTCTAAACACCTCTGTTACTTGTGTTTTTAGAATCTATTTAAATTTTACCAAAAAAAAAAAAATCCCTCTGCTGTGGCATAATCCCAGACATGTAATCACTGATTAGATGAGCCCCTCTGTAATCCCATTCACTATACTCTTAATTCATCCATCAAAGTCAGTTTTCACATTCCTCACATTCTCCTAGGCAAGATAAGATATCCCTCAAAAAAAAAAAAAACTTGCAAAACCTAAGAAACACACAATCAAGAAATCAGCCATAAATACTAGGATGTTGAGCAATTTTTTTAAAGAAGTGGGTTCTCCCTCCATTGCCCAGGCTGGCCTCAAACTCTGGAACTACAGGAGCATACCAACACACACAGCTCAAGGGATGTGATGCTATTTTTAAACTGCTGCTACCTCAGTTACCCTTAAAATATCCTTATTTTACCTCAAAGAAACACAAAGGTTTATTTTCCTGACCTTTATAAATGTATTAAGCAGAAAATTTTGAAAAACTACTCTTAATTGAAATAGGCTTCATACAATTTAAAAGACCACTTCAGTGCTTCTCTGAGAAACCTTTATTTTTCATCTTGCTAAAACAGAGTCCTACAATGACTTAACCTGGAGACAGCCCACCTTAGACTTGGTGGACAAAACCCCAACTTCTGTAATCAATAGAGAATCACATTTGAAACAAATTTGAAAAGATCACTGCCAATTCCTCACTACTTCATTCTCTGCCCCTAAAGATAACATTGATCAAAGCCCAGATCATGTTCCAAGTAGTTAGAAATGCTGAGAAAGAACAGATCTTTGGGAGAAAAAAATGAGGAAGGACACAAGAAAAGAACCCACGGGGTAGATAAACATTAATGACCAACTGGTATTTAGTATTTGTTCATTCTTGTCCATTTAGGCAGAAAAATGCCTAAATAATATAGATTGATTTTAACCAGGCAAAATGAAACCACCATCTTTTTTAGCTAAATGAACCCAAGATTTTCCCAATACTATATATCCACTTCTTAAATGTACCCAAAATTCACAGAATTGAAAGCAGCAAACTTTCTTAGAAATCTGGAGAACACCAGGTAAAAATAAAGAGCATTGCATGAACTGTTCACAGCAGATTTCCCCTTTGAACAGACTTTAGAAGAGAATAAAGGAAGAAAAAATGCATCTACACACTCAAGAGATTCCTTCTAGGTCACATTTCATGGAGAAAATCCACTGGACTTCCAACAGAACTCCTCCATCCGAATGAGGCATCTGAAACACCAGAATGTTTGTGCAAGTCTCACTTACCTTTGAAAATCGAGCATTTATCCATTTGGTAAAGGTTTTCTTCTGCACATCATTGTGTTCATCTGTGGGATAGAAAAGGAGAGAAAGGGGGAAAGTGAGTATCCGTACCTAGGTAAGTGCACTAAATGAGCTCACTGCCAGCCTGGGAAGTTTAAATGGCTCTTGAGTACAGCGTTGTGAGGCACAATGATGGACAGTTATAGAAGAATGGTTTGATTCATCACAGAGGAGCCTGCCGACGCCTCCAACAGAGGGAGGCTCACATGAGCACCTCGCACAAGGGACCTGGCTGTGTCTCCCAAGCCCAAGTGTACTGTCACCAGCTATTAAATTCACGTTTGTATGATAAAATAACCTTGCTTCCTGCTACACAATACTTTAGGTTGCATCTTAAGCAAAATTTCAAGCATGATTAAAATGTTTGCATGTTCAATACACAAATCAAAATTATCAAATAAAAACTAAAGACCTCAAAGACTTCTCCTTTTTCATACAGACTCTACACCCTATAGGGGAAAAAAAGGAGAATAGTTTATAGTTAATTCTGTAGCATATTTTCCTCTAGAAGACTGACATAAGCTTATAAGGATTTTGATCTACGCAAACATTTCGCAAGTAGACAAATCAGAGAAGTTTAAAAAATATATAGCAACTTTGGTTTTGATTACAAATTCTCGTTCCAAGTCCCAACCAAATAAAATTGACTTTAAAAAGCTAAAGAACCCTAAAAATGTACACAGATTAAATTAAATATCAGGAAGTCACATGGCATAACAAAAAGAGCAAAGGACTTTAGGACCATACTGCCTACATCCCAGTCCACCTAATTTGTGACTTGTTAGTCATCCAAACATCTCATGGTTCTCATCTGTAAAATGAGGATAAACACTACCCAGCTTGTCCCAGTACTGTGAAGATTTGCAAAGATAAGGCAAGCCATTTGACAAGAGCTGGTGTTGAGCTCACTGCTGTTGTAATTATTGTAGGATAACTGTAAATAAGAAAGATAAACAAATGTCCATTTACCCTTGTGTTTGCTTCAAATTATACCTTCTTCAACTATTCTCCAAAGTTCAACTAAAACCAGCAAGAAAGTCATTGCTGGCTTCGAGCTACAAAGTTGCAAGTTAATAATCTGGTTCTGGAAGTTGTCTGAGGACTCCTGGGAACACTGAGAAGGCCCTAGGTGCCTCTGGGTCCATGTACTGCCTGTTCCACTCCCTCGGCATGAGAACAAAATAAAAACAGAAAAGACCATTGTGCTCTGCCCTCTGTGCCTCCATTCCGAAGGGGCTGCCTTTTACATGGAACTAGAACCCTCTCACCAACCCCAGTAGGATCATTAAACTTCACCTAGGACTTCACCAAAGTGCTGTGGTTTGCATGTTGAAAGTCCCCCAAAGGTCCGTGTGTCAAAGCCTTAGTTGGCGCTACTGGGAGGTGCTGGAACTTTGGGGAGGTGAGACTTTGTAGGAGGTACTGAGGTCTTGAGGTGGGCCCTTGAAGGGGATTGTGGGATTCTCCCCACACCCCTTCCTCTTCCTCTCTTGGCTTCCTGGCCATGAGTGGGCAGTTTTTGCTGCCACATACTCCCTATTATTGCCGCGTAGCACTGATAACAGAGGCCCAAAGCCATGGGTCCACTCAGTCATGGAGTGGAAGCTTCAAAACTGCAAGCCAAAATAAACTGTTCCCCTTATAAGTTAAATACCTCAGGGATTTCATTATAGTGATGGACAGCTAACACATCAAGTTTGTGATAACTCTGATCTCGACTCCCTTCTGCAAGGAGAGTTTGTAATTAAAAGGTCATTCCTGGAATAGACGGAGCAGCAACACCAGAAAAGAGTGCCCTTTTATAGATCCATAAAGGTAATCGGAGCCGGACCACGGGACACAAAGAAAGCAACTAGTACAAAAAACGAAACTGCTCTCTAAGAAACTTCTTGATGTCAATGGTGCTGAGAGGGTGACCTTCTTGCTGAAAGGACAATGCAGACAGCATTAGCCCCGATCTCAGCCTTTACACCTTATCTGGTCAATGCCACACATAAGCCATTTATTAACCCAGAGGCCTTGTTTACACACTCTGAATGTCCCAGCCTTTACCTTCATACCCAACAGGGACAAAGCTGAGATCACATCAGTGTACAAGGTGACTACTGCACATCACCCTGTAGAGGGCACTATGCTGGCCTCACTAAAAGGAATTTAATTTTAAATATCTCTATTCAGATCCTTGGAAAATCTAATTATTTGTCCCACCATCTTCAAACAATCTTATTTTTGTAAATTTTGCCATATCCATTATATTTAATCCTATGAATAAAAAAGTCTTAAATATTAAAATCAATTTCATAACATTCATACATACATTTAAGAACTGTCAACCATAAAATGAGAAAGAATTCTAAAAAAGAAATATATTACAGCATTTTATTTTCTTAACCTCTTTTTAGAGCATTTGACTTTCTAATTTCAAAAACATTAAAGTATACAATACTATGTAGGTTTCATCCACAGAGTAGACAAAGAAATGAATACCTATCATCTTATCAAAGGATAAATAAGATCTTTCCATTTAACCAAAAAAATGTACAATGAAATCATATTTAAAAACAGATTCCCCCAAAAAGAGATCTTTATAAGAAGTTAATAAGATAATGTTTCTGAAATACTCTGAAATCAGAGACAAATCAACATCTAAAGATTAATCAGTAGCTGATATGAAATGAAGTATTTGCCCATAAAAGGTGAATGTTTTGAAAATTTATAAACACTCTATATATTCCTTTTCCCAATACAGCTAAAGAGAAAAGTAAAAGTTAACATTTCAATAATCCTGCATTTGTATCCCTCCTCCCCCAACAAACAAATACACTTCCCTGCCTCCTATTATCTAGGACAGGAAATCAATCAAAGAACAAGAATTAGCCTGTGGGTTTTCAATTTTAAGAGTAAAAACGTGCTGGACATGGAGGCGCAGGCCTGTAATCCCAGCATCTCGGGAGGTTGAGGCAGAAGGATCATGGGTTCAAAGCCAGCATCAGCAACTTAGCAAGACTCTGAGCAACTCATCAAGACCCTGTCTCTAAATAAAATATGAAAAAGGGATGGGGATATAGCTCAGAGATAAAGCACGCCTGGGTTCCACCCCTGGTGTGGGGAAAAAAATTTAAAAAAAAAAAGAGTAAAGTTGTAACAAGTCTGGAACAAGCATAAAATGCCCCCGCCCTCCGCACCCACACACACACCACAACAATTAAAGTAAGCAGCCTTGACCCAGGCCTATCAGACTAGCAAACTGGTAGTAAACAACCAAAACTCTGTCATGCTATCCTGAGCAATCCTTTGGCCTTCCTAGAAATTTAAACAGAACTTCAAAATTTCTCTAGCTACTGCACCTCTCATTATTAAGCCAATTAGTGGTTTTAATTTCTCCAAAATAAAAATGTGTAAGCACCCAGCACAACCTCTACATGTAATTAGATTATTTAGATATCTAGTTAATGGATGAGTGTAATTGACAGCAAATCCACCTCCCCTAAATGTACTCAGATTTTAGAAAACCGGTTCACTTCCACAAACCTTAACCAAACCTAGCAAATCCTACCCGGTAATGACCTTTCTCTGTGAGGGGGATAAACACGGGACTGAATTAGGAGGAGAAAAATGTGTTAAACCCCTTAAGGCTGCTTTTCCAAATTCTTCCTCTAAATATTTGGCTCTTCTTAAAATGCTTCTGACATGCTCATACAGATCCAGGGGTCTGCCTGTGGCCTTGCCTGGAACTTCATTGCTGGGATGGTAAGAGAAGCAAAGCAACGCCAGAAACGTCAAGACTGCGCGATAAATCTTCAGGGAAACCGACTTGAAAATGTTTTCACTGCACCAGCTCAAAGTGCATATCGAGCATTCTTTTGGCAGAACTTAGCAACAAATCTCAATGTAAATCCTAAACCGGAAAGGTGGCAGAGAAATGAGGAATCATTTCCCCTGTAGAAGCACATGTCTTGGGAACATGTTCAGCACCACTGAGACTCTGCTAGCATGAGAGAGCCAGCATTGTGCTCTAGCACATCTTTTGAAGCAATTTAATCGTGTCCAATTGGCTGGCACTAACCTGATTTCATAAAATGCAGCTATTCAGAAAAGAACAGCCTCAACTAAGCCAAAACAGAAATGTCTTGTTGGACGATTTAAAACTTGGATTGCCTTCATTAAAGCCTCTTTCACAAACATGAAATTGAACATACCCTAGAAAGTCAAGATTATTTCAGAAGCAATAAGGGCATTTCAGAACATACTCCTGCTTATTTTCCTGGGAAATCCCTGTGAAATACCCCCAAAATTCATCTACTACGAAGCCCCTTCATGTCATTCCACTCTCATTTCTTTATACCCAATTTGTGGGCCTCTGAGCAAAACAAATTCATAGATTCAAAAGACACATATTAAAATGACACATGGAAATAATAAATATTATAATAATCTGTAAAGTATTATGAACATGTAGACAAAGAAACACACCCAGGAGATGGAATGCTTACAAGTAGACTGCTTTAACTCCCTACATTAGTTTCAAAATCTGGCATTCTGGGAAAATCAAAAAATCCTTATGGCTGGGTACAGTGGCACACACCTGTAATCCAAGCAGCTCGGGAGGCTGAGGCAGGAAGATCTTGAGTTTAAAGCCAGCCTCAGCAATTAAGCAAGGCCTTAAGCAACTTAGTGAGACCCAGCTTCTAAATAAAATATTTTAAAAGGCTGGGGATGTGCTCAGTGGTTAAGTGCCCTGGGTTCAATTCCTGGTACCAAAAAAAAAAAAAAAACTTAGAAATTAAAATGTAGCTCTCAAAATTGTCAGAACTATCTAAAGATACAAGGTTAGATAATGATCATTTCAAATCATATTTCTGTAAATTTGCCCCTCATTTATACATTGAAGTTATTTAAGCTAAAAACTGTATTTAAAACAGAATTCACTCTGTAGGAAGCAAAATACAAGTGGATAGTCTCTTTGGGCGAAGGGCAAGTAGTTAGAATGGCATGAGAAGGAAAA